AGAACCTCTGGGAGTCCTCTGTGACTGGAGCTTGGTGTACTGGAGTGAACTCATGTGTTCAGCACAGGCATTTTTCTCCCATTCATTATTTGAAATGAATGCAAGAAGAAAACACCAACAAACCTGTACTTTCACTGAGGGCAGCAGCCATGGCCAACCCCTTACCGGTTCAGTCATTCCTTCCCCCTTAAGCAGGATTATATTTTAAGAACACTTTATATCATGTTTCCATAAGGATCAAGAAGTTATATTCACTTACATCTACTACTTAAAATATTTCCTAAAAAAGCCAAGTAATACATGCAACATTTCCCCTCAAAATCACAATTTCCTAATGATGGCCTCTGCATGACTACAAAGAAAAGAACTTGCCAAAAACAAAACAAAAAAACTTACCTCCCTAGCCCAGCCTCTGCCTGGTAATGTTAATCTCTGGGCTTGTTTCCTTACTGCTGGGGAAATCCAGACTGCATTTCTATGATCACTGAGCCCATCTCCAGCAGCAAATGCAGACGCCACCCACTCTCCCCCAAACAGCCTGGCTGCAGGAATAAAACACGTACCGGGTCTGCAGGACTCTGCAATGCTCAGGGCACAGGCCCGGCCAAAGACCACCAAGTCCAGCAGCGAGTTTGCCCCGAGCCGGTTGGCACCGTGTACCGAGGCACAGGCAGCCTCCCCACAGGCATACAGGCCGGGCACAATCTGATCCTGGCCATTCACGTGCCTCAGAACCTGCATGGAAGACAACACACCTTCAGACTCGGCATCTGTGCTTTAGGTTGGAAAAGGGAAGTCGAGACCAACCTGTCCTATCTCAGAGGGGCCCTGCCTGCTTTCTCCCTATGCCTCTGAACACTCCTGCTGACCAGGTGCAAGGCCAGTGTGGCATCCACGTTCTGCAGAGGCTCTCCACTGCCCCTGACCCAAGCACTCTGCCCCAGCTCTAACCCTTGCTTAGACTGGGGGTGGGGCAGGTAGAAGTGCATCCAGCGGGGATAGGCGGCAGTGTATCACTCTCTCACCCACCCCTTCTGTCAGAGGACAAGGACAATTCCCAACCACCCTGCCTGACAAGGAGACCATCAGAGACCCACAAACTCCGTATGAACCACACCCACTCTTGGATTTAAAGATCACCTCACTGCCAAGGCCATCATGAAAATAGAAGTGATTACAGAATGCAAAAACCAGCAAATATCGTATCTGTGACTTTTTTTTTTTTTTTTTACTAAGAGGGGATTAAGAAATTAATAATAAGCTGTTAAGGAGTGAATGCAAAAACTGGAGTAGAACCAAGGCCTTTGTCCACCTTGCACTAACAGTAACTCACAGTCAGTGCAGTCTGTCAATAATCACAGGCTGTCTGAGGAACACACATCTTTCCCTCTAGGATCTAAAGGGACAGCTCTGAGGTGGGCCCTGTCAGCACCTGTCCCTTGTAGTTGGTAGGAATGCCGCCCATGTTATAGTGCACCGTGGGGAGCACAGGGATTGGCTCCTTGGTGACGTCCACACCCGCGAAGATCATGGCCGTCTCAGAAATGCCAGGCAGGCGTGTGGCCAGCTGCTCGGGTGGCAGATGGTGCAGCTGCAGGTAGACATGATCCTTCTCGGGGCCACAGCCTCTGGTGGAACGAAGCACAAACCATGACACGAGGCAAAGAAAGCACTGTAGCATGGGATTCCCAACACCGATGATCTCGAAGAAAACTTCTCAGGGGGCTGGTGCTGTAGTGCAGCAGGTTAACACCCTGGCCTAAAGCACCGGCATCCCATATGGGCACTGGTTCAAGACCCAGCTGCTCCACTTCTGATCCAACTCTCTGCTATTGCCTGGGAAAGCAGTGGAAGATGGCCCAGGTCCTTGGGCCCCTGCACCTGCATGGGAGACCCGGAAGAATCTCCTGGCTCCTGGCTTCGGATCAGCCCAGCTCTGGCCATTGTGGCCAATGGGAGTGAACCATCAGATGGAACACCTCTCTCTGTTTCTACCTCTCTCTCTGTGTAACTCTGACATTCAAATAAATAAATAAACCTTAAAAAACTTCTCGGGACCGTCACATACATCCAATCTTTTCTCAGCTTCTGCTGTGTGCCAGGGGGATTCTAAGTGCTAAGAAATGGCCATGAACAGAAAGAACTCCTGCACTCACTACAAACTCCAGCCCTTTCGTCACAATTTGCTGCATTTCCCTGCTACCTGAGTCACAAAGCCCTTTGTGCCAAATACTCCAGCACACACACACAAAAATTCAACTTCTCATTTTTTAAATATAAAACCTCTGAAGGGCATACAAGCAGATGTTTAAAAAGTGCCACTAGGGGGCAGTGCTGGCATCCCATATGGGCGCCGGCTTGAGTCTGGCTGTTCCACTTCCCGGATCCAGCTCTCTGATATGACCTGGGAAAGCAGAAGATGGCCTGGGTCTTTGGGCCCCTGCACCCACGTGGGAGAAGCAGAAGAGACTCCTGGCTCCTGGCTTCGGCCATTGCGGCCCATTGGGGAGTGAACCAGCAGATGGAAGACCTCTCTCTCTCTCTGCTTCTCCTTTGCTCTCTGTATAACTCTTTCAGATAAATAAATCAATCTTTAAAAAAAAAAGCGCCACTATATTAAGGAATAGGCACTGGAAGCCTCTCTTTCTCATGGAAGGACAGATAACGAACACTCCCAAAAGGTTATTAAAACACTTGTGGGGATCAGTGCTGTGGCTTAGCGGGTGAAAACACTGTCTGCAGTGCCGGCATCCCATATGGGCGCTGGCTCGAGTCCCGGCTGCTCTACTTCCCATCCAGCTCTCTGCTATGGCCTGGGAAAGCAGTACAAGATGGCCCAAGTCCTCGGACCCTGCACCTACATGGAAGACCCCAAAGAAGTTCCTAGCTTCGGATCGGCGCAGCTCCGGCCGTTGCGGCCATCTGGGGAGTGAACCAGCATATGGAAGACATCTCTCCCTTTGCCTCTCTGTAACTCTTTCAAATAAATAAATAACTTTAAAAAAAAAAAAAAAAAAAAAAAAAAACCTGTGGGTATTAAATACACCACAACACAGCACCTATGACTCATGCACTCACTTCTGATTGGGTATGGCCCCATGCCTTCCATACTGAATGCCTATCACACATTCACACTCACAGATGTAAGAGCGTTACAATATCCTGGCTAAAATTTTCCAAATGTAGGTCTTTAGGAAAACACCACACACCAATGTGCATGTGTGCAAGTGTGAAAGTCTGTGCGTGGTGTGTATATAGATGCTGTTGAGTGCGTGGCCACACAAAAATGTACACTATGTCTGTGTGTGCAGTATGTTTTGGGGGCATGTATATGCAGTGTTTATATGCATAGTATATTTAGGTGCATACACAACTGCACGTGCGTGGATATGCAGTGTGTACACAGGTGTGCAAGTATGATCAGTGTGTATGCTGGTGTGTGTGGGGGGGTTGTGCACAGGGTGTATATGGCTATGCACGTGTGCTTTGTAGTGTGTATACAGGTGTGCTTGTGTGAATATGCAGTGTGTACATGATGTGTGAGTACTCAGTGTATACAGGTATGTGTCTGCAGAGTCTATACAGTGTGCATGCAGGTGTACACCTGTGTGCAGTGTATATGGGTGTGCGTGTCCAGTATACACTTGTGTGTGGGCATGCAGGGCGCCTGCCTGCACACACGGGTGTTTATGGAGGTGAATCGCACCTTCCTTCTCGGATCTCCAGGGTCATTGACCGAGACACCACATCTCTGGAAGCCAGGTCCTTCGCGACAGGGGCGTATCTCTCCATGAACCTTTCGCCCTGACTGTTAATGAGAATGCCTCCCTCTCCACGGCACCCTTCTGTAATGAGACAACCAGCACCATATATGCCTGCAAAACAAAACAAACGAACGTTCATAAGGATTGTGAGGTCTATAGTTCAAAAGCATAACATTTTTTTCCCAAGACATTTTCAGGAGGACAGAAAAAAAAGGCATTCAAAGGGAATTATATCCAGAATCAGAAAGAGGAAAAGTTAAGGAACAGTACGAAGTCTGGTTATCAAAAAGCCACCAACAAAGCTGAAAGGTCGGTAGGTTAAGCCAACGCTTGAGATGCCCGCATCCCAGAGCGCCAGTTTTAGTCCCACCTGCTCCACTTCCAACCCAGCTTCCTGCTCTAGCACCTGGGAAGGCAGCAGAAAGTGACCAGGGTACTTGGGCCTTTGCCACTCACCTGGGAAATCAGAATAGAGGTCCTGGCACCTGGCTTCAACCTGGCCCAGCCCTGGCTGTTGCTGGCATTTAGGGAGTAAATTGGTAGGTGGAATATCCATCTCTCTCTCACTCCACTTTTCACATAAAATATTACACCCACCCACCCAAAGCTCAAAATGCAAAGACCCAGTGAGGAGAAAGCTCTCCCAAGACTCTGATTCCAAAGCATTATGTGCTAAATGTCTCAGATTTTAATTTCCTTTTTTTTTTTTTTTTTTTTTTGACAGGCAGAGTGGACAGTGAGAGAGAGAGAGACAGAGAGAAAGGTCTTCCTTTGCCGTTGGTTCACCCTCCAACGGCCACCGCGACCGGCGTGCTGCGGCCGACGCACCGCGCTGATCCGATGGCAGGAGCCAGGTACTTATCCTGGTCTCCCATGGGGTGCAGGGCCCAAGCACTTGGGCCATCCTCCACTGCACTCCTTGGCCACAGCAGAGAGCTGGCCTGGAAGAGGGGCAACCGGGACAGAATCCGGCACCCCAACCGGGACTAGAACCCGGTGTGCCGGCGCCGCAAGGTGGAGGATTAGCCGGCCCAGATTTTAATTTCTTAACCTCTTTTTGCACCTTGAAATTCTGGTGACTACTTTCTTTAGGAATAAACAGGTTAGAGAATTTGTATCTGAAGTGCCTGAATAGCAACAAGGACAAATTATCACTGTTGGTAGAGTTACTGCTTGCTGTACTTGCCAGACAGTTCTAGCTCCTTTACACTGACTTTCATCTCACTGTGCCACCAGGTGATATCACCCCCATTCTTGGAGGTCAGCGACTTATCCAAGACCAAGCAGCCTGGAAGAGCAGAGCCCAGACTCATATGTGGGCCACATGGTGCAGCTTGTGTCCCAAGCGAATAAAAAATGAGGAACGTCAAGCTCTTAACTTGTAGCAACAGATTCATTAAAAAGTAATTTGAAATCTAAAATGTTTATTAGTGACTAAAAGGATTAATTATACGCTTTAAAGGTAAGGCAGATTCTTGCATTTCATGTGCCTTTTGTTCTTCCCAGTGTCAACGGCATTTTTTGGTGGCTCACCTGCCGACAGTGTGCTCTGGAAGGGAGCAGGTGGAAAGTCCAACTATTTGGTTCCCACACATGTGGGAGACCTGCACTGAGTTCCCAGCTCCCAGTTTCAGCCCTGCGCAGCCCAGCCCAGCCCCTGGAGAGCAAATTTGTGTATGAGAGTCTTCTCTCTCCCTCACATAAGCAATAAATAAAGTAAATACATAGGAAGCACAAGAAATAGAGCGCAGGGGCCAGCACTGTGCATAGTGGGCTGAGCGTCCACCAGCAGCACTGGCCTCCCGTGTGGGTGCCTCTTCTGACTCAGCTCTCTGCTTACGGCCTGGGAGAGCAGTGGCAGACGCTTGGGCCCCTGCACCCGTGTGGAGACCCAGAGGAAGCTCCTGGCTCCTGCTGGGCTGAGTTCCAGCTGTTGCGTCCATTTGGGAAGTGAACCAGCTATGGAAGACCCTTCTCTTTTTCTCCCTCTCTGTAACTCTCTCAAATAAAGTCCTTAAAAAAAAAAAAAAAAAAAAAAAAAAAAAGAATGACAGAAATGGAGCTCTAAATACTATAAATTACTGAGGGAATTCAGAAACTCAGAAATATTTGGTTGGATAAAGACATTCAAAAAAACCACATTTCTTATTTTTCATCCCTGCCAGGGATCAGAAAGAAGGCATTGACAGGGCACAGAGAAAATGGGGCCTCTGGGGCAGGGACCGTGGCACAGAGTGCTTGGTGCCAGTCCCAGCTCCTGCGTGCTTCCAATCCAGCTTCCTACTCAAGTGCCTGGGAGGCAGCAGGTGATGGCCCAAGTCCTTGGGTTCTTGCCACCCACATGGGAGACCTGGGTGGAGTTCCTGGCTCCTGTCTTTGGCCTGGCCCAGGATCCACTGTTGCAGGCATTTGGGGAGTGAACAAGTGGATGAAAGATCCACCTGTCTCTGCCTTTCAATCAATCAGTCTTTATAAACAGTTCTAAAGATGAATTTAGCAAAAGAGGGATGTGAGACTGGTCTTTAGCGTCCTAATCAAGTCTCCTTATCCAGAGGTCAGATGAGCAGCTCCGGAACCAGGAGGAATCACCTCACAGCCGGCAGGCAGGGTTCATTTCTAGGTGACAGCCCCTGAACCTGGGACTTTAGCTGTCCCTTGTGTTAAAGTCTCTGAATCCCATGGAGACCCAAAGTGAGGTCACCTCCCCAGAACCAGCTTTCCCAGTCATTCAAGGGGTTGAACCTGTCACAGCTGGATCCTGGCTTTCCCCATCACCTGAGACTGTCCACACCACTTGTCAGACCTGGCATACTGAGGCCCTCCTGTGTGCTGAGCACTGGGTCACAGCACTGATTGAGACCCTGGTGCCTGCCCCAAGCAGCTGACCACACAGCTAGAGAGGGACACTGAGCAATCCCTGCTTTACCCTGGGGCAAGATCGCAAGCTAGGGTCCAGGGCTCCCCTGGAATATGGAAGACAGTGACTTCCACTGTCCTGTACGAGTTAGGGGAAAATCTTGAGAAAATGACATTCCAGTTAGGACCTGAGACATAAGGAATCTGATCATTAGAAGCGTGATAGCACGTCAGCTACAGAGCAGCACCGAGTAGGTTCCATGTGCTTACAAGACACAAATGTAGATCCTACCTGTGGGGTGGAACTGGACGAACTCCAAGTCCTGGCAAGGAAGGCCGGCCCTGGTGACCATGGCTGTCCCATCACCGGTGCTGGTGTGGGCAGACGTGCAGCTGAAGTAAGTGCGCCCATAGCCTCTGGAAACCAGACAGTGGCATCAGGACACCAAGACCTCCTATCTCACAGAAGCACAAATGGACAGAGACGCTCCTGGGCCACCACCTTCTATGCACTGTCTGCACACCCACGCCTGTGTGCACATACCCACCCCACAAGGCCAGAGCGCCCCTGCAGTGGACAGGAGGCCAGGGAACAGAGAGGGTATTCAGCTTCCTCGTTTCGTACTTCGTGCCGTCTGAGTAATTCATCTGATAAGCATATACTAATTTCACAGTGAAAAATCCTAAAAGTTATGATTTGTTTTTCCCCCAGTTATTCTGTTTAAACAAATACCAATGATATATACCCAATGTGACTAACACGATGGTCTGGCGTATGCATTGTGAAATGACTACCAATCACGTTCATTAACACATCCATCACCTCCTACAATTACCCTTGTTTTGTGGTACAGACACTTTAAGACCCAGCAAATTCCTGTAACACATTAGCTACAACCACACACTGTACACATCCATCTCCAGTCTGCTCTCAGAACTCAAAGTTGTACCCTGATCCACAGCTCCGCCTCCAGCCCCAGCAGCTCCCACTCTGCTCTGTTCTTAGGAATCTTTCCAGACCCACGTGTGGCTGAGATCAATCTTAGTTTTTCTCACCTGCCTCCTTTCACTTCACGAACATCATCCAGGTCCATCCATGTTATCTCCTTCCTGTCCTGGCTGAAGCATTCCACTGCCCACCCACACATTTCATTCGCTGATGACCCTGACCCTGACCCTGACCCTAACCCGAACCCACACATTTCATTTGCTGAAGACACACGTCGGCTGACCCCACTGCAGCAAACACCAGAGAACATGTAACTCCCTGACATGTGGATTTCCCTTCTTTCAGACATCTACCCAGTAGGGAGACTGCTGGATCACAAGGCAGCTCTACTTGAGGACCCTCCATACTGGTTTCCGTTAACAACGGGACTGATTTACATTCTCTACATCTTTGTCAAGGCTTGTCATCTTGTAACAGATGCGAAGCGATGTCATTATAGTTTAACTTTGCATTTTTTGATGATCATATATGAAGGTACTTCAAAAAGTCCGCAGGAAAATGGAAAATATGTTTACTTTCGTGCAAAAAATTTTTGAAATCTATACAGTTTTTTATGTTCATTTGCATTATACCTGCTGGCCATGTGTGTATCTTCTTTTGACACATGTCTATTCAGGTCCGTTGCCCATTTTTAATCAGTTTTTCTATTGAGTTGTCCGAGTTATCCTGGATGTCAGGCCCTCATCATATCTGAGCCCGAGTTCCCAGTGTATCCTGGAAGTGAGGCCCTTGTCAGGTTCGTGTGTGTGTGTGTGTGTGGGTTCCCAGTGTATCTCAGAGGTTAGACCCTCAACTGATGTTGGCAAATATCCTCTCCCACTCTGCATCTGCTCATGTCTACCTGGCTATGCAGAAGCTTGCTCATGTTTAACATGGTTTTTAAATAACAGCCTGACCATATATAAAGTGAAACTTCGTCATTTTCATCAAGTGAACACACAGCACTGCTATGTCCTGGAAATCAGTGTGGATCAGTGATCACTACTGCAGGAGAGGCTGTACCAGCACAAGTCACATGACTCTTCCCTCCTCAGTTTTCTCCTCTGAAAGTGGGATGATCATCAAGGACCCTCCAGCTGCAACCAGACGGCAGCTTCTGCCATCTACTGAGGATGTCTGGGTGCTCCCTGGACCTACCTCCAAGGTAGGTGCTAGCTGTCCCCCTTCACAGATGAGGAGCCAAGGCAGGCAAGGTTATCACCTCACAAGATAAGTCAAGACCTATGACTGACCTGCTATCTTATCATTACCCTATTTTATGTATTTATTTATTTACCTTTTTTGACAGGCAGAGTGGACAGTGAGAGAGAGAGAGAGAGAGAGAGAGAGAAAGGTCTTCCTTTTCCATTGGTTCACCCCCTAATCGCCGCCACGGCTGGCGCAATGCAGCCAGCACACCGCGCTGATCCAAAGCCAGGAGCCAGGTGCTTCTCCTGGTCTCCCATGGGGTGCAGGGCCCAAGCACTTGGGCCATCCTCCACTGCACTCCCGGGCCACAGCAGAGAGCTGGACTGGAAGATGAGCAGACGGGACAGAATCCGGCGCCCCAACCGGGACTAGAACCCGGGGTGCCAGCGCCGCAGGCGGAGGATTAGTCTATTGAGCCGTGGCGCCAACCAATCATTACCCTATTTTTATTAGGACAGAGAACCTCTGAAACTCCATTTTACAAAAAAATACAATAAACCATCAAAACTAGATTCCTGGTGCCAGCAGTACGTTAAAGCCCTAGCCTGAAGCACCGGCATCCCATATGGGCACCGGCTTGAGTCTGGCTGTTCCACTTCTGATCCAGCTCTCTGCTATGACCTGGGAAAACAGTAGAAGGCCCAAGTAGGAGACCCAGAGGAAGCTCCTGGCTCCTGGATTCGGACTGGCGCAGCTCCAGCTGTTGTGGCCATCTGGGGAGTGAACCAGCGGATGGAAGACCTCTCTCTCTGTCTCTACCTCTCTCTGTAACTCTTTCAAATAAATAAATCTAAAAAAAAAAAAAAAAAAAAAAAGATTTCTACCCGGTCGCAACAACAGTGTTCTTTGCTCGTATGCGGTGGATGGACCCATCTTCTATGCACAGCGCGATAACACCACGACACTCCCCATTCTCCATCAGAAGATCCAAGGCAAAGTACTCCACAAAATAGCTGGTATCATATCGCAGAGACTAAAAAAAAAAATAAAGATCTCGCATTCTACATCACATTTAATTAAGCGAGAAACCAACATTTAGTGATACTGCTCACGGAACAAGTTTACAGCACTCACCCAGCTCTAGTAACAAATGAGTGTGCTAAGCCCAGACAGAATGCTGGATCACAAGCAGCAATACACAGAAGTGACGGTGCCGATATCACTGAGAGCACAAGACTTTCTATAACTAGCAGCTTAAAACAAAGGTGGCGAGATGCAAATCTATGTCAGCATACACTACAGGAGAGACAGGCAACAGCAGGCTCTGAACAGACTGCATTCTGGCAACACATCTTATTTCCACACAACCTTGGGAGGCATCCCAGGCTCCA